GAATACTAGGACAGCAGGAAGGTAAAAAAACTTAAAGGTTAAATAATTTCTGTTGTGCAAACTCATCAACATCATGGGTATGCTGAGACATTGTGCTGTAGCTATCAGAAGCCAACTATAACTTTTGAGTGGAGACTAATATAATCAAGTCCTTATATTAAAGAAAAAAACCCTACCATTTCTGTGTATGGTGAATTAGTCCAAGAAAAGAGTTGGGACTTGGAAACCATGACATCTTTGCTAATCATGAGGTAAAGAGATGTTGAAATGTGAACAAGGTCTATAGAAAGGAAAGTCTGGATCTCAAAAGCTTGGGTTTTGGGGAGGTGGAAAATATAAGAATTATAACAGCTTGAATGTAGGAGGTAAGAGAGGAGGAGATGTTGCAGAATGTGCCAAGATTTCTAGGCTGGAAAACTTATGGCTGACTGGTAAAGCCATTGAGGGAAAAGATAATTCTGTTTTATATACATTGAATTTAAATATACTGAACTGAAACAAGTGCAAAATAGTAACAGAAAGTGTTCCAGCTAGGGGATGGAATGCCAATCTAGAATTCAAGAGAAATTTAGGGAGTTTAAATGTAGATTAGAAGAAAATTTGCATGAAGACTGTAAGTGGTTGAAATTGCTGAGAAAGTAGAGAGGTTCCATTAGGCTGACCACACTATCTAAGGCAGATGACTGTGTAAACCCTCCAAGGCAATTCCCATTCAATAATCATCTAATTAGAAAGGACTTGGAATGTGTGTGCCTCTAACTACATCCTCTCTCTTAAGTTGATCTGAGTCTTCAGTTTTATGTTAGAATCTTCATGTTATCTTTGGCCCTTCTTTCAACTCCATCATCAGTATCTTATCAGTCACCAGATTGGCTTTCCCTTCAAAGGTTCTCCCACAATCATCACTTCCTGTCCAAACACCCAAGTTCAGGCTCTATGACCTCATCCATGTATTTTAGAAGTAGTCGGCTAATTGCACATACACACCCCACTTCCCTATACTCCACCCCATTATTACTTACTCTGATACTTACCTTGGATATGTTCCTAAAGCCCTCTTTCATCAGATGGAGTAGCTGCTCAAAGCTTCTCCAGGACTCCCTACACAAAAATTCTTAGTCATGGGTCTATGGATAAACCAACAGGAGTCAATGAGTGCCTAGAAATTATTTGTACAAATTAAAATATAAGATTTTATATAATTTTCCTGGGAAGTCAATGTTCATAGTTTTCATCAAATTATCAAAAACCAAAACCAAGCAGAGAACCACTGCTTTTAAAGATGAAATCTGAACTTCTTTACATTCTATAGGAAATCCTTTTTCAGCCATTGTGTACTTTCCCAGTTTTATTTCCCACATTACTCTAAAATAACCCGCTTTAAGCCAATCAAGTCTATTCATTGTCACATGCCTTATATTCTGTTATGTAACAATTCTTGCTTTACATTATTCTCATACATAGTCTCTCTCTTCATGATAACCAATATGTCTGCCTTTCACAGTGCACAGTTTAAATCCTATCCTTTTATTGTACAAAAATGAAGATTGTTATAAAAAATATAATAAAATTAAAAAACAAGTCATATCCCTTTAATGAAACAAATTCTCTTTAAAGACTTCAACTAAAAGAGACCCTTTCTACCTTTGAATTTCTCTGTCCTTATATTAATTGAAAATAAGTACCAAATATAAGAAATATATTCTGTTTGAGTCCCAAGGGGGTAATAATTAATCCAAACCAAGAAGACTAAAGAAAACTTGTAAAAGCTAGAATAATGTTGAAACAGAATCTTTAAATAATATCTAATATTATTTATACACACAGCTGCTAGGGTTGTCTCTTTAATGTATGGACTTGATTATATTACCCTCCACCTTCTTTAGAAGGTGGCAGGGAAGCCATTTCTGACCAGAGAAATATCACAAAAATAATGAACAACCATATACCAGAGACATTTTGCGGGGGTGGAGTGGGGAATGGGATCAAAAACAGGGGGG